TCCCCCCCCCGCGCACACGAGAGATGGATCATCGGATGGAGCAGCGGCGCGCGCGCGACTGTTGACGCCGCGCCGAGCCGCGCGCGACTCGCAGTCGGATTATTCTCTCCCCCTCGGCGCGTCGTCCGGCGTTCGTCGCTCCCGTAGAATGGACACTCGCCGTCGCGACGACGGCGTTGTCAGCGGCGCGGTGCGCGCATCGATCAACCCGTGAGAGTGAGAGAGAAAGAGAGAGATAGAGAGGTAGCGGCCAGGCGACCCTCCGCCGTAACGAAGCGCGGACGGCGTAGACGAGAGACCGAGGCCTCCGCTCCGCGTTCGATTCCGTTCGCGTTATCGATAACGGACACGACGTTCCCTACGGGGGAAGCAGCAGCAGGAGGAGGGAATGGATATTCGCCGCCGCGCTCGTCCCCGTGCAATGGCAGACGCGGCCGCGGACCGGCCGCGACGGGCGATCCGGCTGAAGTAAGCTGCACAAGTCGCGCCAGTGCAATCCGAGCGGCGACGCCGCGCGCGGCGTATCGATAACCGTCGGCGCGCGAGCGCTACCGAGCGAGCCTGTTCGTTCGTTCGTGCGTGCGCGCGGGCGCGCGCGACCGCGCGTCAACGCGCGGCGCCAAAGTATCCTTTTCGCGGAGTGGGTGCCCCGTGGTGCGTCGAAACGCGAGAGGAGCTGACGGAGAAGGAGCCGCGTCGCCGAAGAAGAACGAGAGAGAGGAGACGATTCGGCCGTCGTTAACGAGACCCGTCGTCGAGCAGCGGCCGATGACGCGCGAGTGTTGACCGGCGCCCCGGGTGCCTCGATCCTCCACGACCCTCTGCCCCCTCCCCGCGTCCACTCCTCGTTGTTTCGGTTTGTGTGTGCGGTATACCGTGCGTATCTCCGGCGGATCTTGCTCGGACGGCGAGCGGAAGAGGAGAAAAAGGGGTACGACGCTCGACGGGGGCTGCCCCTCGGGATACATTAATGAAGATGTGCCGCGGATTGATCGATCGGTTGCTCCTGCTAGCGGCGTTCGGCATCACCGTCCAAGGTACGTGATTTCTCGTCCTCTCTTTCAGCCGCCCCTGCCCCCCTCCCCGCCCGCCAGCCACGCTCGCTCCGTTTCTACCCCTCGCGCGCGCGCGCGCGCTTCCCCCTAGCCGCGCTTTTACGGTCCATCGTGCGCCCCGCGCGCGCGAGCGTCGCCGTCGCGCCGTGCGTAAATAATGTCGCGCATACAGGGTGTCCCCGGAGCACGCGACACGCCGATCCGGCGGCGCGCTCCGCCGTTTAAACGGAATCCCCGATTTTCCCACACGAGAGTGAGTCTCTCTTTGTCCGCCGCGCTCTTCCTCGTCGACGAGACAGATGGGCCGCAGCTCTCGGCTCGAGAACGCCGAGCGGATTCGATCAGCGTCGCGCGCTCGTCCGACGGCGGGCGCCGGCGAATCCCATTCGCATAAATTGATTTGCGCACCCTCCCGACCCCCCGTTGTTTCGCCGATCGCGCGCCGCCGAATCCGCGCAAATCGAGTTGCCGCGTAACGAGAGAGCGCGCGCGCGCTTCGCGTCGAGCGTTAAACGTCGTCGCGGGGAAAACGGGCCGGCCGCGGACTCCCGAGACTCGCGGGGACAACTCGCTTGCGAGTGCGGCAAACGTGCACGCGCTCGATCGATATCTCTCGTCGAATCTGGAGTTTATTTATTTATACAGCGGATTTACAGCGGCGGATTAACTCGCGCGCGTCGCGCAAATGTGGTCAAACATTTGCGTTGTAGATGAAACGGGGGAGATAAGGCTCGCGCAGCGCTAACCAGCGGAATGGAACGGGGGATGATGATTTACGTATCGCGAGAAGGCGTTGTTCTAGCCCTGCGAGTACCGAGAACGGTCTTTCCTAATTTTTTTTTTGTTAATAGCGCATTCGATTGCCCGCACTAGTACGCACTCGGTGCGCCAACGCCAACGCCAAAGCCAACGGCACGCGATACTATTTTTCCTACCAGATCGCTTACGAGAGCCAATCAGGATGCAGAGTTTTCGATCAGGTGACTCAAAGCTGAATCCAGATTGGCTCTCGTAGTCAATTCTCTTAGGCCTGCTTAGGCTCAGTCTACAATGCAATACAAAGTCTACAATGTTGACTGTTTTTCCTGTCTGGGTGGAAGAGAAAGGACCGACATATAGTTCTGATTTCTGACTAACGACCAACAACTCACTGGTAGGCCTTGCATTTAACTTGGTCTTAAATACTAGGTTGAAAGAGTATTTAGCCCAAAAAGTGATCCGCATGGATGCTACGCAGATCGTGGCTGAGAAATATTTCGAGAGATATTTAAGACGATTCCTAAGTATAAGAATTGCCTGTAAACAAGCTTAACGCGTCGTCCACGATGCGTGGAGTAAGCCTGAAGCATGGAGAAGTAAGGAAGTAAGTCAATTTTATTTCTTACTCCTGCTTGAGCTCTTAAGCCAGCGCCAAACCACGCGCGATTCGTAATGCGCGAATCGTGATTCGTATATTCGTGAGTAGTGCGGAGGAAAAATTGGTCGATTCGCCAGCCGAGCGGATTTTTTTTTACGAAAACAGTGGTTTTTTTACTAATATAGTAACTTGAATAATTGCAGACTTACAATGCAAGTAATGTAATAACTGGTGCGCGGTTAAAAAAATAAAATGTTGATGTTAACATTTTTCACATGTCCCGGAAGGTCCACTCTAAATTTTAAGTAAAAATAACATTCATCGTGTGTGTGTTACTCTTTGACAAATTATAAAGGCTACTTGGTTAACACTATATTTCACGTTTCAACCTTAAGCGCGACGTAATAAAAGCGGGACAAGTAAACTGTACGATTAGTTGCAAATTAGAATAGTTAAAATAACTTTCAAGAGATGTCGATATTACACGTTTCAACTGAAACCAAGG